TTTTGTGGGGGGGTTGGGGGGCCTGGGGGGCTCTTGAGGGGGACACATGGGGGTTTTGGGGGCCTTGGGGGCTCTTGAGGGGGACACAGGGGTGTTTTGGGGGGGGGGTTGGGGGACACAGAGGGGTTTTGGGGGACTGGGGGGCTCCTGAGGGGACACAGGGGGGTTTTGGGGGGGCTGAGGGGCTCTTGAGGGGGACACAGAGGAGTTTTTGAGGGTCTCTGGGGGGACTTTAGGATGGTTTGGAGGTGGGGGCACAGAGGGGGTTTTGGGGGCTCTGGGGGGCCGTGGGGAGGTGTTTGGGGGGTCTGTGTGTGATTTCCCCCCCGTGTACCCCCCGTGCCAGCTGTCGATCCGCTGCGGGAACCATCGGTTCAAGGTGTTCGTGGAGGGGCAGCCCCTCTTCGACTACAACCATCGGATCCCGGCGGGACCACACGTGGACACGCTGGAGATCGACGGCGACGTCGTCCTGTCCTACGTCCACTTCTGAGACACCCCTGCCCTGCAGCTGCAAAATTATAGCCCCAAAACTGCCCAAAAACTGCCCCAAAAGTGCCCCAAAAGTGCCCCAAAATGTCAAATAACTGTCCCATTGTAGCCCCAAAACTGCCCCCCCAGACCCCGTAACTACCCCCCCTTCCAGCGCTGACCCCAATAAAGTTGTTCCTGCTCCAGCTCAGTCTGGGAAAGGGGGGGGAAATGAGGGGAAAAGGGGGGGAAATGGGAGGGGAAATGGTGGGAAATGTGAGGGGACAAAATAGCAGGAAGCGTGAGGGGAAAATGGTGGGAAACGTGAGGGGAAAATGGCGGGAAACGTGAGGGGAAAATGGTGGGAAATGTGAGGGGACAAAATGGCGGGAAACATGAGGGGGCAAAATGGCGGGAAATGTGAGGGGGGGAAAGGGAGAAAAATATGAGGGGAAAAGGGTAGAAAACGTGGGGGAAAAGGCCCAGTCCCTCCCAGTATGATCCCAATTTGTCCCAGCCCGTTCTGGTTCAATCCCAGTACGATCCAGTACAATCCCAGTTTGTCCCAGTCCATCCTTGTACAATCCCAGTACGATCCAGTACAATCCCGACTTGTCCCAGTCTGTTCTGGTTCAATCCCAGTACGGTCCAGTACAATCCCAGTTTGTCCCAGTCCCTCCCAGCACGACTCCCTCACACTTTGCTCCCCCAGCACGGACGTGGCTCTGCACCAGTTCGTCCCAGTTCGCCCCAGTTTGTCCCAGTCCGGGACTGGAAGGGGCGTGGTCAGAACGAGGGGGCGTGGTCTGTATACAGAGGGCACGGTCTATGCAAATAGAGGGGTGTGGCCTAGTGCGGTGGGCGGGGTCAGGGACCACGGACCGTCGTGGAGCGGAAGTGGATGTGACGTCACTTCCGGGAGAGGCGGCCAAGATGGCGCTGTTCGAGCAGATGAGAGCGAACGTGGGGAAACTGCTGCGGGGCATCGACCGGTACGGGGGGCACTGGGAGGGACTGGAAGGGGAGCGGGAGGGACTGGGTGGCACTAGAAGGGGCTTGGGGGGGAATGGGAGAAGGCTGGGGGCACTGGGAGGGGTCTGGGGGGCACTGTCAGGGACTGGAAGGGGAGTGGGAGGGACTGGGGGGCACTGGGAGGGGCTTGAGGGGGAATGGGAGAGGACTGGGGGGCACTGGGAGAGGACTGGGGGCACTGGGAGAGGTTTGGGGGGGAAATGGGAGAGGACTGGTGGCACTGGGAGGGGTTTGGGGGGCACCGGAGGGGCACTGGGGTGGACTGGGGGTCCCCGGAACGGGATTTGGGGGGGAACTGGGGAGCACTGGGAGGAACTGGGGGCCACTGAGGAGGGACTGGAAGGGGACTGGGAGTGACTGGGGGATACTGGGAGGGACTGGGGTGGTCCCAGGTGTGCCCCAGCATCCTCCCTCACCTGCTCAGGTACAACCCCGAGAATTTGGCCACCCTGGAGCGCTATGTGGAGACCCAGGCCAAGGAGAACGCCTACGACCTGGAGGCCAACCTGGCCGTGCTGAAGCTGTGAGTGCCCGGGGGGGCCGGGAGAGGGTGGGAAATGGGAGGGGGAAAGGGTGGGAAATGGGAGGGGAAAAGGGTGGAAAATGTGAGGGGAAAAGGGGGGGGAAATGTGAGGGGAAAAGGGGGGGAAATGTGAGGG